TTCACATTCGTAGTGTTCTTTTCATTGTTAATATTTTTAATGTTTTTTCGTTAATTAAAAATGCGTATTAGGTGAAACATTTGACAAATCAAAATGCCTTATATTAAGGACCGAAGGGAGTATAAAAGAAGATTAAAGTAATTTACACAACAAAACACGGACAATAATTATTATATCACAAAACTCGACTCAAGCTTTATCATACTATGACGATAACCCTCGGTTCACATGTGATCATAATTTTACAATTTGTAATACAATCCGTGCAACGTACGGGGATAATTCTAGTACGTTATGATATGAGATGCTACCGCCTCTTCTTTAGGCATGTTTCTCCTCCTCTCCTGTTTTAGAATACGAAATAATTAGAAATGAGCAAATTATATAAATATATTTTTTTAAAAAAATATCAAATCATATTGATTTTGATATCTATCAAAGTATCTTGATAGATGAATAATGTAATTTTTTACTGATCAGATTATGAAACGAATAAAAATAGATTAATTATTTTCAATATTTAATATTGAGATAAGTTTTCACTTTTTTGGGAGAACTCTCGCGACGACTTGCATAATAAAATAATTAACTAATATCAAATACAATAAACGTGAATACATGACATTTATAAATTATTATAGGTTCTTAATCAGATTTAATTTGGAGGGGGAAAAAAACAAAGGACAAGGCTACATTTGACTTGTAGAGGGGGCAAATAATATTAAGTTCCTAGGTACACCTTGCAAGGTGTAACTAGCAGTGCGTGTATATCACCCAAAGCCAAAAAAAAAGTGGGCAATTTATCCTAATTTTTATGTTTTCACGTGCATCATTCAATCCTGCATTTAATAACCCAATTTTATCCCTTTTTTTTGGTATTTTATCCCTTTTTTTTTTGCCATTTGATTTTATCTCCTTTTTTTAACACACGTTTAATTTTAAATCTTTTTTTTGGCTTATCATGTTAGATTTTATATTATTTTATTTTATGAGATAATTTTTTTATAATGATGGATTTTATTTTGGTAAAATTGACTATGGTGAATCATTGAGATTTATGAATATGGAGAATCAATGTGTATTTTCTCAGTAATGAAAAACCGACGTTTAGACAATGAATAATGTTATGCAATTATTGAAAGATGCATGATGTAGAATGTATTTGTTTTATTGGTGAATATACATGCGTAAGGTGGCAGATGGTGTATCATCTTGTTAAGATTTTACGATGAGTATCTTATTTTAAGTAATGAATAACAAGTTGTTATTGATGAATAACATATATTGTGCTTACTGGACGATGTTTCAACTCTGAGAAAGAGGCTTTTGCTACTTATAATATCAACGTTATGGACGTGATGAATAATGATATTCTTATAGTGATGACGTTATGGACGAATAAATTTAAATTTTGTAATGAATAACGATATTCACAAAGATGAATAACGATGCAAACCTGATGAATAATGATCCCATTCTAAATGAATAATAATATTGCAATCAAGAATAGTTGTAGTTTTACAAGATGAATAATTGTACATTAATGAATGAATAATATATGTTACTAGATGAATAACTTTGATAACAAAAATATATATTACAATGGGTTAATATTAGCAACTAAACCAACAAACTTCTAATAATATATTATACTAGATAAAAAATAAACAAAAAAACTAGTCATTGTTTTTAATATATAAGATCTTGAAGGATTTGCCAATGTTCGATATACGTTTATGTTGATTGTTTGATTTCAGCAACTCTGGCAAAATATTTAATTCCCGGCCGATCGACTTCATCTTGATGAGCATTTCTTTGCTGCTGATCAAACAAAAAGAACATTATAATAAGTGAGATTTCATATTTAATAAAAACTCTGTTAATTATCAGTAACAATACTATTGAAGATGAATAATCATTATTGGACAATTTTTTAATTGTGTTAATTAATATCAACGTATCAGATGTATCACAAAATTAATGAACAACTTTTTGTGAATTAATAAATAACTGTACATAGATGATGAATACACATTTTGACAATGACAAGATATCATGTACTTTTTTCAGATTATGAAATTGAAAAATTAATAATCATTGTCGATCCAATGAATATCATCCCTTCACGGATGAATAGCACAACAACACAATATAATAAATACCAAACACCAATCTGATGAAGAAAATTAACGGATGCGTAATACATAGTTATGATAAACGATAAATCTGACAATTTCAATAATGAATAGTTATACAAAACTGATGAATAATTATACATATCTAATGCATAATACATAACTGGTTTTATGTTCTGTTCCTTGCCAACCCAATGAATAACATCCATTTGGGGATGAATATCAAAAAAAAAAAAAACAATCTGATGAATACCAGATACCAAACTGATGAAGAAAATTAACGAATGGATAATACATATTTATGGTCAACGATGGATCTGACAATGTCAACAATAAATAACCATACTAGACTGATGAATAATATCCAGATCTACTAATTTACCAAACTGATGAATAATACAAAAATCTAGTGATTTACCAAAAAAAAATCCTAAATAGTTATGGTAAACGATGAATCCGACAATTTCAACAATGAATAATTATACCAAACTGATGAATAATATAAAGATCTACTAATTTACCAAAAAAAAGTACTATATAGTTATGGTAAACAATGAATCTGACAATTTCAACAATGAATAATTATACTAACCTGATGAATAATACACAAATCTACCAATTTACCAGAAAAACAACATCCAATCGAAATAAAACTCTAAAATTGATGAATAATCATCGTCAACCGAGTGAATATAACTTACATCTATGCACAAAACTAAAAATTAATGAACAAACATCTCAAATCGAGTGAAAATACCTTAGATCTACATAATCCAACCGTGAAAACATATCGATTGTTGAAGAGAATAGTAGTATTACCTCACTTCTTCTTCATCTTTCGATATGCTCATACTCGGTTCAGATTCCTCAATCGCAGGCTTCTATATGAATATTTCAGAAAATAAAAACGACATTATTCGAACTTGATAGATGCAATAAACACACAAAATCGATTAATTAGACCATATATTACCTTAAATCTCAGTCGGAGTAGAGTATATCGCAACCCAAATCGCTGGATTTGTTGCATAATATGATTTTCTCTTCGAAAGTACCACATCGGGGAGCTTTTTGTCGCCATATCGCTTCGGGAATGGATATTTATTTTTTCTGAAGTTTTGGTTTGAGACGTACTGGATTGAATCGAAAAGAAAGTTAGATAGGGTTAATGGCCGGAAATTAAGAGCAAACAGCGGTTACCGTGATTTGAAAATCAAAAAGTCGCACATAATGGGGGTATTAATGGGCGCGTGTAAACACTCGGATGGCATTGTTGTAAATATTGGGAGTTCTCCTTTTTTTGGTCGCGTGAATTTCAACCTAGGTACACCTTGCTAAAGGTACCTAGGATCCCTGTATTATAATTGTGTAGAGGGCAGAAAGAAATAATGTTGAAATGATTTTGAGGAGGTTTTTTTTTTTTTTGTTTGAGAAAAACCAAATAAGAAACAAGGAAATATGTCTTAGGTTGGGCTACTTTTTTTCTTGCAATAAAGGAATCAACTAGGCCTATATGATTGCAATAAAAAGTTTAATTACAAATGACCACTTTATTGGGGTTTTATGCAGAAATTTAAAATACTAAAGATAGCCCAGCCCAGAGCATAACTTCATCTTTCTCAGCCGTTTATGCAGCAGCTCACTGGAGTACTCCCATGGCTGGCTAGGGGCGTATCTAAGCCGGCTGGAACTTATTTATGGTCAGCTGGGGGTGCTTGGGTTTGCCAAGCCCGTATGTAGGTCCGCCCCTGACTAGTAGAGACGAATAAGTGTTATTGTTATATTTTACGTCCCACAGAAAACTTCTAAAATTTACAAATTTCTACGTACTAAATTCCAAAAAAAAAAAGAAGTAAAAATTGATTACTTTCTAGCTCATTCCAGATGCTAAAACCTACTAAAATCAAATAGGAGAAAAATCATTGAACTGGTAGTTATGTGGAGCAATTCAAAACTATAAAAATTGCAATCTCTCTTGAATTATAAATCCACATCACATGCCCCATCTGGACCTATTCACCTAAAAAAGCTGGAGTATTATTATTACTTAGTTTGTTAAAAAAAAAAAATCTATGTTAAGTTTTGATTTTTTTAGCATAAATTTTAAAATGTTTTCGCCCATTCATCTTGCCATTCAGACGGTGTGGAATTAGAAAAAAAAAAAAAAACGATGTATACATATTTTCAAAAGAGCAGTGATACATACATGGAAAAAATATAAGAAAAATTTATAAAGAATGATTTGTCAATCATCTAAATTATGTCCTAATCTTAAATACTTAAACTCCAAATAGAAAGTGTTTACAATGAATGGATGTGATCAATTCTTTGACATTTTTCCTTATATTTTTTTCATGTATGTATCATTATTCTTTTCAAAAATATGGAAAGGACTGGGTGAGGATTGGTCATTGATAGTATGAATCTGAATGGAGAAATTTAGAGGTTACTCATAAAATCAAGAGTAAATTCTCATATTGATCTAGTACATTTGGTCTAACTCAAAATGACTAGTTCGAACCAGAACTAGTCTGATCAAATAAGGGATCGCACCGTTCTTAGAAAGATAAAGCAAAAGCAATCATGAAATTAGCATACCTTTCATCTACCTTACAATCCTATCTTTCTTTTCTTTTTATGTGAAATTCATAGTTAAGATTACTTAGGTAGAAGTAGCTTTTCTATTTATAGATGATAGCACCGATGACAGATTCTAGAATCTCTTCTTGGCACCAATTCACTGTTTTTTTGTCCCAATTCATTGTTTGGTTAATTTTTCCGTTCTGTTGACTATTGTTCAACCAACAGACTCGAAGTCAATTTTTCCGTTTTGCTCACTATTGTTCAACCAGCACACTTGAGAGAGCTGCGAAGACATATCTATTTCAATTTGGTACGTTAAGCCGAATCAATTCAGCCAATTACATGTATGCACACACTTTTCCAACGGAATCAACATTTCCACAACTTATATGAAAACCTTCAGCAACAGTCACCAATTTGTGAACACCATGACGTCGGAATGAGGGGAAGACTGGAAGGAGATTTGATAGGTCTTCTATCCCAACCATGATTTTAGTGGACTGGAAGAAACCCGGAGAAGGGATCCGGTTGGATTCATCAAGTACAATGAGTATTTTCCAGAATGAAAAACTGCTGCTTTCTTCCAGTGTTAGTTTGACTAAGAAAATCTCTGGGCTAGAAAACCTGGTTCCAACATTTCTGGCAATCAACATTAAACTAGTTCAGAGTACAGAAACCGTAGACTACAACTATGTAATAATATTTACTATTTACATTGCATAAAGCGACAGATTTTGAATTTAAAAATCCTTCACCATCACTGCAAAGGTAAAGTTGCATCAGTATACATACCTTAGTATGAGATTTTGACAGCTATACAATGTCTAAGAATACATAAAGTTAGTAGTTTATCAGTCGTGTAATCATGACGCATACTATACATCGTACAAGCTTTCGAGGACTACTCACTCCTGAGCCTTTCAGATAATCTAACTTCCTCTTCTCTGGAGATATGGGGATTAAGATCCCGAAGGTTACTAACAAAGACGACTGCCTCATCTCTACGATTCAGCTTGCAGTATGAATCTACGATGGAGTTGAAGGTGTTTTCATTTGGTTTGCAGCCATTCTTGATCATGTAGCGCACCACATCAATGGCCTCAACAAACATTGCAGCAGCTGCATAATTTGCGATGAATGTGTTGTACGTGACGACGTCTGGAACAACACGAGATTCTTTCATTTCCATAAAGACTCGAGAGGCATCCCTCATCCGACCATTTCTGCAATATCCATTTATCACTGTGTTGTATGAGATGACATCAGGCTTGACTCCTTTTCCAACAAGCTCTTTCAGAATTTCTTCAGCTTTCTCATAGTTTTCTGACCGGCAATACATATTCATCAAGCTATTATAAGTGGCTAAAGTAGGCATAAACCCACTTTCTCTCATGAATGTCATGATCTCATTTGCCTTGGCAATCATTTGCCTGCGTCCATATATGGAGATCATGGCATTCAGAGTTGTTATATCCAATGCACAACCTCTTCTTTTCAACTCTGAAAAGGATACTTCGGTTTCATCCAGTAGGCCACTCTTGCTATAGACCAGGACAAGGGTCTTCAAAAGAACAGCATGAGGCTCGATTACACCAGAGAATATGTCTGCTGCAAGAGCATGTACCTTTTCAATCTCTTTACCATTAGCGTAGGCATGAAGCAAAGAACTGTAGGTCTGTTCATTGGGTTTACAACGACAATCCTTCATTTCAGCAAACACTTTCTCAGACTGCTCCCATAGTCCTCCACGAGCTAGAGCAGCTAAAACGGCATTATAAGTGGAAAGGTCCGGAGTAACCCCTGCTTCCAGCAATCTCTGGTAGACAGCCATGGCTTGATCAAAAGAGCCACACCTGCTGTAGGCACTGATCAGGGTATTAAAAGTGTCTCGTTCAGCTACAAAGCCTGATCTTTTCATTTCCTTGAACACTCCTGAGACCTCAGAATCCATGCCATTCTGACCAAAAACAGCAAGAAGCGTATTCCATGTCACAATATCAGGAGTACATTGGGAATCAGTCAGCATTTTAAAGATCTTCTCCATTTCTGAAAATTTTCCCCTGTTGCCATACATCTTTATAAGAGCGTTAAATGTACAAATATTTGGTTTGCAACCTGCAGCTCTCATCTCATCAAACACCCTCCTCGCAGACTCATCTTTACCAGCCTTCTCAAATCCTGACAACAGAGTAGTATAAGTAAACACATCAGGTTTGATTCCCTTGGCCATCATTCCTGATTTTAACTCCATAGCTTTCTCCAACAAGCCATCTCTACAATAAGCCGAAATCAGAGAATTGTATGTCACGATGCTGGGAGAGAAACCATTCATTTCCATCTCATACAAAACCTCCAAAGCTTCCTCATGCCTCCTCGACTTCCCATATACATCAAGCAATGCATTATAGGTAACCTTATCCGGTACACATCCAACTGATTTCATCTCCTCGAAAATCTCTTTAGCCTCCTCATGCAAAGATCCTCTTCTACAACAAGTAATAAGAGTATTATACGTATATGCATCAGGGGCAACCCTAGATTTCTTCATATTCTCAAAAACCATCATAATTTTATGCCAAGGCATTCCCATTTTGCCATACACTTTCAAGATAACATTATAAGTGATCAAAGTAGGCCTGCAACCCTCTTCCTCCATCCTCTTGAACACCATTACAGCATCTCGGTACCTCCCGTTATTAGCAAAAGCAGAAATCAACGAAGTATAAGCATAAACATCAAGGGAGAATCCATCTTTATGCAAACGATGAAGCAGAGAAGCAGCGGTGGAAACCTGGCCCTCTTTCCCTAACATAGTTATAATCACAGCCACAACAGAATTGCTCAACAAAATATCCGAATGACCATGAATCCCAATCCATTCAAATACCCTGAGTGCCAAGTCGCATTTCTTGTAATGCCCTAAACCCTTAACTAAACCCAAGAAATCAAAACCTAGTGCTTCACTGCGAAATTCAGCACCCTCTTCATTATCATTCAAATGGGAATTGAACAAAGCAAGTAATACCTGGTCAATTCTACCACTTTCGAATTGCGGGTCGATAAGGGTTTGGAGAGCAAGCTCGCCTTGAGGGGAGAGGCGGTGGTCGGACCAAGGCTTGCCTTTATTGGAGTCACGGTGTTTGCCAATACGACGCCGAGTCCGGGGAATAAGGGGCTGGCTGGGATTTTCAACAGCTACAGATTGATTGAACGTGGAAGTGGATGCGGCGGCGGTGGGTTTTGTGAGTTGAGTTTGCTGGTTGAGAAGATTTTGGAGGATTAAATTAGAAGGATTTTGGAGTTGATGCTGAGAAGAAGGAGGAGGTTGGAGTTGTGGGTCTTGAAAGAAAGGTTTAGGAGGCGGTGGATTTGGAAGTAGAAGCGGTAGCGCAAGCTTTTCCGCCATTTTCAGATTTCAGACTTTGGCCTTCTTCTGCTACTAAAATGATTAAGGAAGAAGAAGCAGAAGAGTGTTAAAAGATTTTTGGCTGGCCCTTACACTCCACTTGCTCCAGTAAGAAAAACCTTGTAGGATCTTTTTCTTCTTTCTTTTTTTTTTTTTTTCTCCCCTGTTTATAATTTTTTTTAAGGGAAAAATATAAAACATTTCCGCATTTTTACATCAACGAAAATTTGTGACAGAGGACCAATATTTATAGGATTGCAGTTTTTAACGTTCACAGTAGTTTTTTTTTTTTTTTCTGAACTAAGAAAAATAAGGTTAAACAGGCTTGTCAACAACGTAGTAAAAAATTATGAAACGAAGAAATTGTTTTTCTTTTTTTTTTACATGGAAATACATGATGTTAAAATGCATGGTCATGCACTTTTCTTAAAGGGAATTGATAAATTGAGAGCAGATTTATTATATTGAGAGCAAAATTTTATTACTTTTTATATTACCCCCGTCTAAAATTTTATTGGAATTATTAATTTTTTTTCACATTTTTTTTCGTTTCGTTTCTCAACTGTTCCTTCACAAACGAAGGTAGGAGTGTTGAAAATGAGTAGTAAGTGAATGAGAATTAAGTTTCTCAAAAGTTGGAAAAATATAATTAAGGCTAAGGAACTTTGTCCCACATTGGTGTTGGGAAGAGTTGGAACTCACTTTATAAGTGAGAGCCCAAAATTGACTTGGCATCATAATTCATATGTTTTGGTCTAAAACCAAATATGTTTTGAATTCCTTCGTATTAATGTTTTTCATCAAAATCAATTTTTATTTTTTGGTTCAGTTCATGGTGCCTCTCACCCAAACATTGAAGTGAGTTTAATGGGCAATTCTCTCGTATAGTAAGTGTTAAATTCATATAATGATTTGTTTTAAGTAGTAGTCATGTAAAATTGGAATTAATTGTAAGGATAATCGCGAGGGGTGGAGGATGTGGTAACTTTGAATAAAACCGGCTGCTGCTGAAAAAGATTTTGATGGGCTCAGGTCAAAGAAGTGGCTGGAAGGTTTGTTTTGTGACCGTTGTGGCTGAAATGAACTTGATGAAGTAGTTTTCCGTTCTGATTCTTTTCTTGGAAGTCTTGCTTAATGAAGTAGTTTTCAAGAAGTTTTGTGAAACTATTTTTTGAAGATACGTTGGATTTTCTGATTTGGTAGTGAAATCATATTAGCCAAATAAAGATCAACATTGTTGCAAATGACGACCGGATCAAAGAAAAGAGAAAATTCAGAGAAAATAAATTAGATGAGATTTTTATAATTCTAATAGTAATTTAGGTAGTTGATAATATTTTGTTCTCAATCTAAAAAAAATGCTCTCAATTTATCACCTCCCTTTCTTAAATAAAGATGGGAAAAACAATTCATGTCAAAATGGAAATCATTAGGACAATATTCCTGAATCCTGATGCCTCATGTCATGAAGTCTTTGTTGAACTATTTAAGCCGCAGTGTAAACTCTTTTTATAGGAAATAATCTGGCTATTAATCAAATTTATATCCTGGTTTCTTGCATAATCATCACAAAACACCACCACCAAGCGGATGACCAATGTTCCTCGTATATTGCATCATGAACACTATCCCAACCCGACCCAATGAAATATAGTATTCTATCAAATCAGCAGATTGAGTAGGTTGAGGACTGGAACCAAGTAATATCATCAGATCAGCAAATTGAGTTATCTTCTCAAATCAGTCAACGCATTGGCCATTGGATGCAAAAATAAAGAAGAAAAGTTAGTACGTACATAATGCTACTACAATTCCAGAAATCCAACATCATCCTGATGATCATAGATAGCCTCTTTTTAACTGCTTGGGTGCAAAGTTCCACTCTTGGATTATCATCATTAGAAGGATTCACTTGTTTATTGAATACGTAACCAAATCTTTGGTTCGGCAAGCTATACCCAGGTAAGGCTTTGTCCGGATCCTCCATATCCTTCCATCCAAAATGCCCAAAGGCCAAAACTAGCTGTCATTTGGAACGAACAAGTCCCGGTCGAACCGGAAAAATACCACCACCACCACCATCAGTGACGTTTTATTATATTTATGATGAATTTGATAGTAGTAGCGGATGAGAATGGATGGTGTAATTCTTAATTTTCTGGTTTAGATCATAAACGAAATCAGTTAACACACTGCATTGGTTTTGTTTATTGGAGAGGACGTGCCTTTGCCTATTGACTTGCAGTACAAATTTGCTTGGTTCCCAAATTACGCAATCCACAAGTACTATTGAATTTGAAGTTCACATTTCTATGTTACTACTTACTAGCATTTCAAACTCGTATCTGCACTCTGCCTCAATGTATTCTACGATTTCAATTGTCATAAAATATGAACAGACACATAAAAGATATCAACGCTCATGCCAGCAAAGAAAAGCAAAATAAATTTTCAAAGTTCTACTGAAACTTGCCGCAGAATGTCAAATCTAGATACTTAAGAGCTAAATCCAGATATTTAAAAATATCAGAGAGAGTGGTGAATTGCATCCTAAAAGGCTGAGGTGGTCCAACATCACCAAAATAACCACCCAATGTACGACAGCAATCCCATAATTCACCTGCATTCACTCTTCAAGTCTTCAGCACATTGTCATCTAGAATATATAACTTCCTACTATCTAGAGACCAATTTACAAAAGGCGCACTTCCACGCAAACTCAGCGTTCTTCAAGAGAATCTCACTTCAAGAAGTGAGGATTCATCAGCCCAGCAATCTCCAGAAATCCAACGCGATCCTTGCCAGCGAAAATAGTCTTCAGCTTCTCATCACAGATGATGACCTTCTTGTCCTGAGGGTCCTATTAGGAAAAACATATGAAGCAGCAAAATCAGTACAAAAGATAACTGAACGGGGGCACTAGCACTCAATGATCAAGCAGTATAATTGAAGAGACCTTGTGACCCTGCTCCAAGTGACAAAGAATGTAGTTGCACAGTTTAGATACAGGCTTATGAGGTAAGTGACCTCCACGTTCACAAGTAAGTTCCAAAAATTAGAATCAACAGTAAGAGATAAACTAATGGCTTCAGGTAGAGGTTGAAATCTTAGCCCTGAAGAAACATGGAACATATGGAGCTTTGGCAAACAAGAATCAATAACTAGATTCACAAATAAGATATTGTTCTATGTGCCTCATAATTCACAGAAGCATAATCATAGTTACGCATTATTAGGTTACAATTAAACACCAAACAAAACCGGCATTAAGTTAAAGGTACACAGAATGCAATGCAGTCCACAACACACCCTTTATCCACCATCAGGAAAAGGCAAGATGTATTTATAGGATATCATACATTTTGCCTTGCCAAAACAAAATTTCCATTATGCATTTTACTTGTAAAGAAGAAAGGCAAGTTGGATAATGGTTCCAAAGTACATTCAGGGAACAACGGTCACAATCTCAAACACTGTTTGCTTCCATGCTTCATTAGCAAACAGAGTCGGATGAGAGAGCCTGAATGGCACAATACCTTCCCCACAATCACTAGACTCGTTCAAAGAATTTCAGACTGATAGCAATGAAAAACAAAACACAGTCACCCAGATATGCAGTTATCATCCATAAAAATACAAAACTTATGCACCATCAACTAGCACCAAAAGAAATAGTTATATCACCGAGAAGCCAAGAGCAAACCAAAACCCAATAAGCCATTGGTAATATAAGCATAAACAGAATTTTAAAACATGGAGAAAAAAGGTTACAAACAAACACAATTCCCTTTCCATTTCCCCTCTAATTATCCCGCAAAATGTTCATGGTTTCATCTAATGACAAGCGACCCAAGTTATAACGGTCACTTACAACCCATAACAAAGCAATAATTGATCAGTCTCACATGCGAAGTGCTACAAAAAGACAATGCACAAACAATCAACCCTCCAATGGGTAAAAAATGGTTCAAATAGGTCCAAATTAGTACTGCTAGTCACTCAATTCAAAATTGGCGGTGTACAGTAGCACAAACCAAAACATAATGCATAGCAAGCTCAACAAGTCTACAAGAATAACAAAACAAAATGGAATTCCGCCATGTCAAGTTCAACAACATCAGCAGCAACATCTACAAATTTACCATGAAATTCCGCAGAAAAGAAAAAAGACACCCCACAACATACAAAAAGTAAACATGGACTACATAACAAAGAAAAAACCCCACGACAACATAAAGAACAGGGATGACCGGTAAGAAAAAACGAGTAAAATTAGTAATAAGAGCGAAAGATGGAGTCTTCAGTATACCTGAAGGTTGTGCTTCTTGATATAAGCCCAAATCTCCTTGAGGGCTTGGGTTCTGGGAATCTCAGGAACACCCAGAAATGCATGCATTTCCGGCGAGACACGCCGGGGCTTAGTAATCCCTCTGGGCTCACGCTTCTTGGTCTCAGCAGCAACCGCCGGTTTCGACGCGGCGGCCAGAGTCAAAGTGCGAGCAGTGGAAGAGGGAAAGTTGGCACGAACAGCAACGGGAGGAACAGGGAGACCCTTAACCGCGAAAGAGTGAGCCAACGACGGCGTTTTGCCAGACAAACAGCCACCTAAAACCCTCAACGACATGGCCATTTTGGACATGAAACCTTTTTTCTTCTTCTCTGCAATTTAGGGAAGTGGGGAATTTGAAGAGGGAGAGGACGGTGGGAGTAGATAAGAGTGAGTCTGAGAGTGTGGAAAAGGGGGAAAAGTTGTAGTGCGAAACCCAAACCAAAGGAGGGTTTTTTTTTTTGTGTCTTGTTCAGGAAAATGCGGAATTTAGAAATACAAATAATTTAAAAATCCAAAAAAGAAGCATTGAGAAGCCCGCCACTGGAATCAGACCCGTGACTTGGGCTATGATATTTTGTTCTCTGCAAAAGTTGCAATCCATTCCTGCTGAACTACAAAAATGGGTCGAAATTGTGTGTGTTCGATTTTGTAGTCCAGCCCAATTTCTAGTGGTTGCTGATTTTCTTCTTCTTCTTTTTTTAAAACAAATTATTACTTCCTCTTTCTTAAAATAAGTGTCCTATTTGAATTTTTTTACTTTCAATATAATTTTAGAGTAGTGATACGTACAGAGAAAAAATGACAAAGAAAAATTACAAGGAATGATGTGTCAAACATCTAAACTAGACTCTAACTTTAAATGCTTAAACTGTGTATGGAAAGGGTTTAAAATGGACGAATGAGATTATTTCCTTGTCATTTTTTCTTGTAATTTTTTCTTATACCTATCATTATTCATAATTTTACTAAAAATTATGGATATTTATTTCGAAACAGAAGGAGTTTTTCATAGTAAAGTGAGGGTAAGGGGTCTAACGAACTAAATGAATTTGGTACTATGTCTACCACACTAAAAAGAGGAGTGAACTAATGTGAATGGTGGACATTTGATGTCGAAATTATATCTTACCCTTGACATCGCAAAAATAATGTCTTCTTTATTACACTCAATAATTTTTTTTTTCTTTTTACGAGATAGTGAAGAAGCAAAAGTAGAGATCGAAATTAAAGAGTGAACCGTGTTGAGTGTTGAGACGATTAAAAAAAAATTAAAATAAAATAAGGAGGTGTGAACAACCATGTACATAAATTACTCCCGGATGGCTCGCAAACATCATTAAAAATGCTACTAATTGAGATTGAAGCACATAGAAAATGACGTTTGATCCATAAATAAAGTCCTTGTCCTAACACAGTTCCTTGCACTTTACGCACTGTTTTTAGACATGCATGGGAGAAATGATTCTAGACATTCCTGGATCGCAATTTAATTAACCCTCTCACTTTCCCACTTCCATTCCTCGAGTCATTCTCTCCTTCTTTTCCATGTTTCTTTTTTTTTGTCTGCCGACTCATACAGCTTCATCAAATGTTACAAAAATCAACCTTACGAATCTAGCCTGGTGGATTTTTGAAAAACGATTCCAAAAATGCAAAAATGTTTAAACTATATCCCGTGTTAAAAATAAGAGAATTATTGTTCGTTTTGTTGGTTTGGAAAGGATGTATGTAATTAGGGTTTGTTACAACCACATTAGTTCCAACAAACTTCATGAACCTAAGAACATTTGTTTTCAGTTGTGCGCGCAGATACATAAAGCTGGTTGCAAGTAAATTGAAATGAGAAAATGCCAAGGTACCTTATTTTTCTTTGCTTGGAAGAAAATGACTTGACGTTTCGAACGGGTTATTTCCCTGAATTACCTTACAATACGGACGATAATACTATATATGGGCCAGGTTTTGCAATCATTAATTATGATGAATATTTGTCATTAATCAAATGAAATGTCCCCCAAAAAACAAATTAACAGTGAAAATTTGCTGTTGTTCTGGGATATAATCATTCTTGATGGAGCTACAAAATGATTAAGGAACCCCATCTATCTACTCATGCAACATGATTAACACTTTTGAAAAGTGCTCATTATTTGATTATCTCACTGTTATTAATAAGGTGTCACCTAATAGTGGTTGTGATCTGATCTTCTTTAAGGGCAAGGGATTAATTTTTTCCAAATTAATCAGCCCGATAGTCTCGTAACTTTTTGCTACTTTTTTTTTTTTTTTTGTTTTCTCTTACGTGTGATCATTCTTAATAAATGAGAGTAAAAATGTTTCACCTTACCAATAAGCCAGATAAAGAAAAATGATAAAAACTAGTTAAATGATCCAGTGACACTTATGTAAGTAAGAAAATAATCAAACGAAACCTGGAAAAAAATGGAAAAAGTGAGTCGAATTCAGATTAATTAAGTTACTTTTGACATGTGTAATATGCCAAAAGAGGTAAAATGATGAAGGGTATATATTTTACTTGTACTGCATAGTTCTACATATCACATATGCTAGTGTACCTTTTTTTTTTTTCTTTTTTCAATATAGAAGAGGTAAAATCTATTTGAAAAATGAAATCGTTAAAAAAAATAAATAAGAAACGCCAAGAACGTTTGTATTTACTAGGATATATATATATATATATATATATATATATATATATATATATATCCAGTACCAATTTCACTTGAAAAATATTAGGTCTCTATCAATCTCTCTGGCATCAAATATATGGAAATCTTGAAGGCGGGTGGCATGGGCATATTGCGCAATTCCTTGCATCGAAATCAAGTAAACAAACTGATGGATCCACCAAACTCACGAGGCCAAAATTCGACGCGTATGTGGAAATCAGAAAGTGATGATCTATATATCATGAGTGGTGGTTGCACTATCATTCTAGCTATCACCTTTCTTCTTGTTGTTGTTTTTTTTTTCTTTCTCTATTTTTGCCTGTGGAGAAAATTAAACGCATTGACAATTCTGATTTCAACAAACTCTGCTGCGCAACACAATCAGATACCTTTACAATGTAGAGTGATTTCTTCGGTTTATACTCACTCCACAATTCCTTCAGCTTGACGATGCGTAATACAGACAATTCGCAACCCTTGGGAAACTTTTGACATGATGATTTCTGTGTGGTCTCCACTGTGTAGGAATTGTTACTTGTTAGTAAATCATCTGAGCTACGTTTTCTCCAAGTTCTACCTGACGCTATCAAAATCATAAACACTGCATGCCGAGTACTGATTTTCTTATTACTTATTTGTCTCGGAATAATTGTCCAATTAGAATTTTCATTTTCTTATTACTAAATATGAGAATTCAAACTAAACAATTATTTTGAAAGGAAATATTGTTGCTTGTATCATGTTCTATCCATTGGAAGATTATTGCTCTGTTTATCATATTCAACTAGTACAATTATGAATGTAAATATTTTGGGACGGAAAGTGTAGCATTTAACAAAACATTGATTCACCGCAAACAGGCAAAGTCGTAAAATTTACTTTTACTGATCAACTAATTTGCGACACCATTATACTACTTGCTGTCTTGCTCCATGTTCCATCATTCCCATTAATTAATTAATATATATATATACCATTTTTAAGGTACAGCACAAAAAGATGCAGCTAATAATAGTATGTACGTAACGTTGCTATACAATCAAACAACACTATATAAACAGTCTTGCCACCTCCCACTTCTCCTCGCCGGGAATTTCACTTCTTCTCCCTTTCTACCTTTTTCTTTTCTCACACAGACACACAGTGGGAGAAGGAGCTGAAACTCAAGGTTCCAAAATAGCCATAAAACTGTTAATTAAACACACTGATCATAAAGAACACAATCCCACATTGTATTGATCGTCATTCCTTCATGGAGATAAAAACAGTGTTCCTTCTGGGATTAATCTGCATTGCAGTTGCCGGAGTTGGAGGCCAAGCCCCATCCACCGCCCCGGTTACAACTCCAGCTCCTCCTACTCCCACCGCACCTCCGGTCACCACCGCGCCACCTACGCCTTCCACCCCCGCCACCCCACCTCCTACATCATCACCACCGCCGGTTGTTTCAGCTCCACCTCCCGTCGTTGCATCTCCGCCGCCAGTTGTTACAGCTCCTCCCACACCGTCTACGCCGCCACCGGTGCCTGCCACTCCTCCTCCCGTGAGCTCTCCGCCACCAGTTACCCCTCCTCCTCCTGTAGCCAGCCCTCCATTGGCAACTCCTCCTCCGTCACCGCCGCCACCTCCGCCGGCATCTCCGCCTCCTCCTGCACCCACCCCGGCACCACTGGCTTCCCCCCCAGCTCAAGTTCCTGCTCCTGCTCCCGCCACGAAGCCGACGTCTCCGGCACCATCACCTTTGTTGAGCAGCCCTCCATCTCCGCCGACGGCAGCTCCGGCGCCGAGCCTTGGTGCCACTGCACCTGCTCCGGTAGCGGTTGACCAGGTACTTTGACTTTTTTGACTTCCTAGCTTTGCATTCCAATACCACGTAGGAAGATGGACCCGGCACTTGTCGTCCCTTTTTCTTAAACGTTTGGGACTTCAAGTTTTGGATCTTGTGTTTTCATGGAAGTACAAGTTAATATTTGTAAACTAATTAGAATCATATCTGTATTTGCTGATAATAACACATATGTAATTTAAATCGGATTTATTAAGACTTGTTAAAAATTGTGACACAAAAAAATATGGGCTAGTATTTTAAATACTCACTTTGTCACAAAATTATTGTCCAGTTTGAGATTTTGTTTTTAGTACAATTTGAACTAAAAATAAAAATTTAAACTGGATAATAATTATGTGACATAGGGAGTAGTACGTTTACATCAATAATAATCACACAAATAATTTAAAAATATTTCTGTAAGGTTCATTTTCCTCGGTTTTTTGTGTCCTTTGCAGAGTGGAGTACAAAGCATAAGGTCATTGAAGATTGTTTATAGCTTGGTGGTGACTGGATGGATTTTCCTAAGTTTCCACAATTAGATACAGAAAGAATGTTATCACATTCCTCATTAGTTTTTTTTTTTCTTGTACTAAATGCCGTTTACTATCTTTAGCCTGCGGATGATTTTTTTTTTTTCTTGTACTAAATGCCGTTTACTGTTATTTCATTTCATTTTTTGAGAGAGAGAAACTGCGAGACAGAGCATTTGTCATTTTGATGGATTGATTATTTCCTACATAGTGTATTATATCTGGAGTTAATTAGTTGTTGAGTGTTAGCCTTGTTTGGCTCGTATTTTACGTGTTATTGGTTTTGCTCCTTGCATAAAACTGATGGATCAAATAAATGCATTACAGTGGTTGAGATGGTACTACAAAATTACGGGGTTGTAAATTACGTTGGAAAAAAGCACTAAGATAGTTGGGAAATCATGATGATAAACTATATAGATGAGCATAGTCCAACGAATAAGTGGGGTATGAACAAATATATAAATTGAATTAGTTTAATGATGTACCACTAAGGTATTAAACAGGCAACATTGAATTGAAAAAAAAAAAAAAAACACTTATAGAAGAAAAATTTGTCCTCTCCTTAGGATTTATCTGCTGCATAATCAATCTAAATGTGATATGTGTCCATTTAAAATTATCTCATGGTTCATGTACTAAAAAAAGACATACTTATGTCCTATTTATATTATAAATTTATAATGTAAACTACATTTTTAAGACAGAACCATGAAGGGAGTGTAACAGTTGATGAATATGTAGAGCGTGAAAAAAAAAAAAAAAAACTCATTAACCTGGCTATAATATCAACATGGAGTGTCTATTATGTATCATTATGTGATTAATGAAAAGAACTTTTCTTTCCAAACAGTGGAGAATGCACCCATCGCAAATATATATGCTTTCGATAAGGACTAACCCAACCACCACTTTTTGGTCCCTCGAGTACAATCAACAACAAAAACGAACTGACCGATTGAAATTGTTTTCCTCCTCCGTTTGTGCAAGTTTGTTGGGAGCATGTTGAAATTATTTTCCATCAGAATACAACTACAAAACAGTTTTTTTTTTTTGTGTATATTTGCAGGGTATTCACCATCGGCAACAGTGACTAATCCTCCTCGCTAAATGATAGGCACCTTAAAGGGTGAGAAAGTTGGTCAAAATATTTAAAGTTACTCCATGCCAAATGGCGAGTTGAAAGTTGAAGACGTCGACTTGGTTGGGCTGAATTGCAATCATACTAATACGAAATCTCCTGGTGTTTGTAGCTTGGAACATAAACAGCACGAAGAATGGATCGAGGTTGGGACCTTTTGGTTTTCATACACCTAATTTGATCCAGGCCTCAACGGCCCAGACGGATTCTACTTTCAGGATAGAGTAGTAACCTTCTAGGACTTTTCATTTACATTAAACCTTCTTCCTTGTTGAGGTACACAATTCGCAATCTGCAGAACTGCCAACAAGATTTGGTTGAAGCATTTTTTCAGTGTATAATTTTTCTATCAAAAAAGAAAACATAAAAATGTGTGTTATAAACACAAAAATTAAAAAAAAAAAATCTGAGATTGAAAGAGAATATGTTAATTAAAATTTTGAAAAAAAAAAAAACTTTGTAAGGAAAAGGTTATAAACAAAGTATCACTAAACAACAGACATTTCAAGTAGATCGTATTTCAATCACTGTAAGTCGGCTATCTAAGGATCTAACGGAGTAATAGACGCATAAAATCTGATCAACCCTCGCTGCTGCTATAGTCTTAGTTGACCGTTGACATAAGGATAAGTTAGTTTTCACCCAATCCAATGAGAAGGCGCACGTGCATGATGAAACGCATTTATTGGAGGTATTAATTGCACCAATAAATTGTAATGTGTAAAAAACGAAGTTAACCACGATTCACTAATGATTTCTTTTATTATTCGAGAGTAGAACTGTAGAACTTGTAGGATACCTCAGTGACTCAGTATACTAGGCAGCATTGAGACTTGTGTCGGGTGGAGTTATGAAGAAGAAGACTGTGTGTCTGTGTGTGTTTACACTTTACAATATGCCTACGCCATCACGTCGGCCATGACGATGACGACGAAGAATAGACTTTAATTTGCACTGCAATTTTAGTAGTAGTACGTAGTAAGCCAATAGGGGAGAAATAGTAGCAAGTTGTTGTGGCTAGGAACAGGCAGGCACACCCATTAATACGTTCCCCCTCATTTAAATTTCATTCATTCATGCATGCATTCCCGCACGCACGGCCATATGCATTTTCCTTTGTCCACTTCCAGAAGCTAAAACCCAACATAAAATAGTGAAATTCTTTGCCGACAGCTCTTCTTTATTTCCTCCCCATTCCTGGTGTACCAGTAATCCGTTAAGGCCTCGGATTACCATGACCTTTGAAAGTAGAGAAAGTCAAAGTATGCCGTACACGTAGCTTAAATTTTACTAATCCATTTGTATATATAATTAAGCACATTTCATAACAGTAGTACTATAAAGATTCCTTTCCTCCGCGTCCTAGATCGTAGGATTCACCAACCGAAAAGTACTAATTCAAGACTTGATGATTATGTTATTAGAGTCAGATATATGTCTTAGGAATCTTTTATTTTCTTTGGTGTAGTCCCGGATCTGATATTCTGATTTGATTCCAATCTGAAGATCTAGATTTGGAATTGTGTATTCCTTAATGAATTGTCACAAAGAAATAATGAATTAGTTCCATTACTACATTATTTAGCGTACCATGCTTCATGTTACATTGTACATATATGAAGGACTAGGGGGGGCAGATATTGGCACTTTGTCATTTGTTTTAGTTTTGGAACTCTCACAAGTCTTCATAAATTGACTACTCCGAAACAAGCATGCATACAGACAGCAAATCATACGATTGAATACAAGGATGCCAAGTGAACTTAGGTTAAGAATCTTCATATTTTTCCCCTCCAACTAAGACCCCCTTTATGATTAGAAACTACTACATTGAAATGGAGCACCATCAGGAATCAGGACCACATGAATGATTGAATTGAATGAAACCTTTCCCAATATTTATGACGGAATTCAATAGACTCGAGGACCATGCATGCTCCATGAACAGTTTAGAGTCTAGCTAAAGATACTCATTCCATTTGTGCCCGTAATAATCTCAACTGTGAGATACAAACATATTTAAGTAAGCCAGTCAACGTGATGGATGCTACTGACTGCTGTAGTTGCCTTTTCCATAAGGCATTTAGTTGGACTTGACTTGTCCTAGTCTATCCCACTAACCACTGATATTTGCTGCATAATTTCCTTTAAAAAAAAAAAATTGTAGTAGCGCAGTGTATGGAGTATGCAATCACCATTCATGATTGTCTTGATATTCTGTTTGATTTCTAGTCGAATCAGAAAGTTCATAAGGCTGGTGATATTGCAAGAGAAGAAATTAGAGATCAGGATCCGAATCAAATGCGCATATCCTCTTCCCAATTTCCTGCTTTTTCTAGCTCAAGATGGGGGAAATATCGAACTAGTTTTCTAAATCAAGTTAGGAGGTAACTCACGTTTTTTTTTATGAAATGCATAAGTAGGCTGTAAACCTTGGTAGGTTTGCTCATTTATATACATCGTTCTCTATCAAAAGTGGACACAAGTTGTTCTTCTCCCACATCAACATGATCAGTATTCGTACCCGTACCGAGTTATATACAGTTATTACAGCAAAGAGTAGTAAAGTCCCGTGGAATCTAAAGCGATCAAATGTATGTTCCACCATCAATCAGGAAAAAAAAATTTGACTATTCTATCTGGGAAACATTATAATAATGTAGATCGTAGAAGCTTCCCCACAAACAACTAGATGCTGCTACTGCCCTACTGCTGCCATCATCATCACTATTATTATTGATGGTAAAATAAAACCAAATAGTAGTGTAAGTGCAGGGTTGGGTCGGATAAGGTTTCCATAAACTTTATATATGAGACACACGGTGTATGAATGAAGTGATATTTTGAATCAAAAACATACTAATCCCAAATTAATATGAGTCAAACGTCTTTTAATAATTTATTTAAATGGGTTCAATTTTTCATTCACAACATCTGCTTTAAATGAGGACAAGTTCATCACCATGTAGAATGAATGAAAGAAACAAAAGCCTTACAATTTTCTAGCAGTGAAAAAAGAAGGATCAAATTAACGTATTTAATGAATAATTTATCTTGGACAGAATTATGTTGGGTAGAGTAAAGAAGTGGAGAAGATACTGACTGCAAAAGACACATTGCATGTCACTTTGAGAAAAGCACAAACAAAGAACGAGAGGAAAGAAAGAAAGAAAGAAAGAAGATGAAAATGGCGAAAAGCAGTCCGGGGATGTTGAGGAAATCACATGCAGTTGGGGAACACCTTTTACCCCGTGCCTTTGTTGCAATGATCATTCTTCCACACGCTTCGAGTTCAGCCTCAGACTGAGGGGGGAAAATAATACCCTTGAACGAGGAGGTCGCTTTACAGAACAAAGGGAAATGGGGGCTGGGTTCAATGCTCAGAGTCAGAGATAAAAAGCTTTGTAAAGTATGGCAAGAAAAGGCACGTTATGATGTAATTTTAGTCAAATCTCACAGACTTCACAGTGCAACATATTCTAATCCTCATCCTTTGGAATTGTCGAAACATTCCAATCCACATCGGTTTTCTTGATCCAAATCTGAACAGAGCAGAAACAACTGCCAAGTTTACAAGGCTAAAACTGTTTTAGATGAGAAGCAATTATCTTCGGTTTACTCTGAGGGAGATGTGTTGTATGATAACAGTAAATTCGGTTCCCTTATGGTAGAAAGCATAAAGCTCATAAAGAGAAGATGCTATGATCATATCGGATAAGCAATTTATGCTGCAAACAATGTTCTTGACACTACTGACAAAATGTCCCAAGTACAAACCAGAAAACCCCCTATCTGAAGCAACTTGGTTGTTATTGCCTACCAGCAAATGGCTGCATTATTAGCCAATTTGCCACCCATCACCTTTCCTACTTTCCACTAACATGAAAGACTAACAAGAGAAACCTCATTCTCCGAGCCCATCACAAAAATGAAATAAAGCAATATCTTGCATGTAGTTATGAGGTAAGCAAGATCCACTACTCGAAAAAGCATCGGAAAAAAAAAGAACCAATAAAAACAGACACTATTGCTGATCTATCAACCTCATCTAGATTCCTTCTAACTGCCGTATACAATTTGACAGTCAAATTAGTATGAGATCCACAGTAAAAAAAAGGTCAATGGCTCAGCGAAAAATTCGAGCTTTACCATGACACAAACTTCATTCACTAGAGGAAGGCAAACAAATAAAATTAACCTCCACTTGCTCTATCCTTAAACTGGGAAAACTGAGCTCCAACACCATAGCTGGATTCTGTCTGCATTGAGAGGATTAGTATTCATCCAGGCTCGAGCAGAACTTGTGAATAACTTACGCTCTACTCACAGAGTAGAGGCTCAACCAACTACTGAAATCTCCTTTTACTTTGCTACTAACTCTACTCTGTTAGATTATTAGAAACTGCCTACCCATATAAACAATTGAAGCATAATACTATTAGGTTAGATCTCAACTTTCCAGAATACGTTATCAACGTTGCTACCGTGTGTTTTCTCCAAGGCAACAACTTTCGCCCTATGTGCAGCGAGCACTAGAGCATTCTTTGCCTTTTCATCTGCAGGGAGTTCACAGGCTTCACTTACAGTCCCAGATCTTAAATCAGCCGGAGGAATAAAACAATCCAAAGATAAGCCAGGAACATTGAAAGCCACCTCCTCAATAGTCCAAGCTTCTTCCATCCTGGTCTTTGTATGGCTCATCGCCATCTCCCCAAACCGGAATAGTGTAACCACAGAACGACCAGAGTGAGCAATCATTATACCTTCAACGGGATGATAGTCCTCTAAAAATGAGTTAATCGTAGTCTCCCAATAGACAGCATCACCACCATTAGTCTGGATGCGGGTAAGATGTGAATCTTCCATGTGAACAAGAAGGCCAGTCTTCTGGCTGAAATAGCCAAAGAGAACATGCCTTATGATCTCTGCTGGTCCTTCACTCCTTGCCTTAAGCGTTTGCGGATCAGCACAAAGCTTCAGAATGAAGCAATCCTCTCCATTAATTTTCTTCTCTCCAATGCACCTGGCATCTGCAAACATACTGGCTGTTGTTCTTGGGTCAAGACCCTGCACAAGAAGCCCACAAATTCATGAGCAAATGGCCCGAAAGCACATATTTAATAGCAAAGGTCGTCAACTATTTAGAATAAGGCTTCACCTGAAGAGCACGTCGTAAAGGCCTAACTGGTCCTTTTGCAGTGTGAGCCCCAAGCCAAGGTGTATGCCTCCAAACCAGCTTTCCATTGCATCCAGCATGCACCTTGCTACCACCAACTGCAAGCTCCACATACCACATGTCAGGATTCATCTGCCACAGGACAAAACCTCCTGATTCAGCAGCTCTTGCAGCATTCCTATTCTTGACAACCTTGGTGGCGGTTTCAAACTCGGAGGCTACCATTTTCAGCTTGCCCATAGCATATGCATTCCTGATAGAGTTCTGGACCTTTTGACCACCAGATGCTGCAGTATACTGCTGCAATATGTATTGGGCTGAAGAGGTTTCCTGCACAATGAAATTAAATAATGAGATCAGACCAAATGTCCAATTCTTACAAAACTAAACAGGAAATAATTAAGAGGCTCCCACTACAAATTACAACATAGCAGAGAGCCTCAGACAAATAAGACACCAAAGCCATCTTTAACGGTTATACTGCAAAAATATGCAACAAACATATGTATAGTGCTTCATGTAACCTCCTGCCACAGCAGTAAACCCCCCACCCCAAAAGAAAAAAACCCAAAATGACAACTGTTCAAGTACAGTGTCCAAATCCCAATTAAACATCTTCATTGCATTTTTTAGGGCTCAACCATAAACTGCGTCTACTACAACCAATTGTTAATTCTCGAAAACGAAAAAAAAAATTCTGAATAAAGAATAATCCAGAAATAAATAAGGAGAGCATTCACTGTTGGACAAAAGCTTGTAAGACAAATTCGTTAAGAAAAAATCAAACAAAGAAGAGTCCATTCAACTCAAACAAGTCAAAACAACACGGTGACATGTTCAGAAAAATGCCAAATCAAAAGCAGGACAGCAATAACTACTCACAATTGGAGTGTCTTTGATGCTGAGATGAGGCAATGGGTCCATGGCGCTAACATGAACCGGGGCAAGAGGCGCACCCATTACACCCAGCAATAACCTCAGATCAGACCTCTTGTTGTTGTTATTGGGGTAGTTGCTGTTGTTAATCCCCTGCTGCTGATTGTTACCGTACCCGTTGGACGTAACGGATGGGGCACGAGAGAGCTGAACCTTCATCCATTGTCCCAACCCGACCCGCTTCGACCCACCAATTTCACCACCGTCTGGATCCGGACCTTCAATTAACGGCGTCAGAGTCTCTCCACCCAAAGGCCTCATACTCCCCGATCTCGCAATTAGAGCATCGGTATTCGCAACGTAGCTGCTGCTGCTACTACCTCCGCCGCCGCCGCCGCCGCCACTGGACTTCTTCCTCCGTAGCAGAGCCGCCATGGGTGAGGCACTCCTCGCTGGACTCTTTGATCGTGTCCTAGCCGGTGATAAACCCCTAACCACCTCCTCCTTTAAAGCAGAAAAGAACCCTTGTTTTTTCTCCATTGTTTCCACAAACGCAGAGAAAAACCCGGTCGCTCTAGACGCTATATAACAGCCGCTGTTCTTAAATTATTGGGTTCTCTAATTCTCTCCTGAGTTGTGCTGTCAGCTAATAGAGAGAAAAACTGGGCTAAAAATATTGGAGAAGGAAGAATCCATAGAGGGTTTTCTAGTAACTTAATCAATTGTCATAGGCTAAAAAAGGAAAAGAATGGGCACTGGAAAATTTGCTGAAAAAAAGGAAAGTTGGCGAAAGGCGGTAATGATAGAATGGAATCAGTCTCAGATATTATTCCTTTGTGCCTGGGAAGACCAAGGATTTTTGTGAGAAGGAAGGAAGGAAGGTTGGTTTTTGGTTCAGTGGGCTGCTTAAAGCTTTACTACAAGTGTGAAATGGGGTACTTCGTTGTTGAGGAAGAAGTTTAAGGCGAAAAGAGTGTTTGGCTGCTTCTTTTCTTTTTTCTGATGAGAGTGAGGTTACTGTGTGTGTGTGTGAGAGAGAGAATGTGCCAATATGGCATCTGGGAAGTGTGATTTTTAGAGTAAGGAGAGGAGTGGTGAAGTCACGCGCATATATTGATACGTGGATTTTAGTCTTTCTATTTCTGTGTAGGTGCCCACTGGCTTTTCTTTTTTCCTTTCCGCCTTTTCTGGTTTCTTAGGTGTCTCAGGGCTAACAACAATTTATTCTTTCTTTCTTTCTTTTTTTCGTTAACGCCTTTATTATATTCTCAACAAATAAGTACATGCCGTTTTGCTCCTTTAACTATATCAGAAAAATTTAGTTACTAATGTAAATTAGTTATTAACTAGTATTAAGGATAAGAGCAAATGATAAAAATAGTAAAAATAATATAGTAAAAACTCATAGTGATTGATTTATAATTATTATTGTTTAAAGATAATAGTGTAAGTTTAGAGGGAAAATAAATTTTTAACTGGCCTTTTTCACTACTAGTATTTAGCTTTCACTATGCACATTGGTTTCTTAAGAATATAATTGTATAAGGTTCATGTTGTGGAATAGGATTAATGCATTAAATTATTTGTTGCAATATTTCAAATACATTCATTATCTTCATCATTACTCATGTACTCGTATTGTATTATTGTTTTTTTTTTCCTTTTGCTAGGTTGTACATGTACTAACAAATATGCCCTTGTTTTGATTGTCTTCATACAAAATTTATATTAGTTTATTATTATCAACCAAAATTTATAGGTACGTCTTCTTTTTTTACTTGTTTGAATAGAACTACAAAATAATTATTTGGAATGTAAATATATATATAAATATTGTAGCACTAATTTTTTTCATCCGACTGAGTTTTTTTATAATGGAAATCTTGGTGCCCTATTTTTATAATGTTTTAAATAAAGCATTAGTGAAACATATATAATTCCATTGCATTACACGGAGAAAACACTACCAATTTTTAATATTACAAATTTATAATTAAAAAAAAAAAAAAGATGGCACTCATGAGTCACGACTCATCAAATTGGTGACAGGGATTTTGTTCTTTTATGTCGATGTATAAACAATACACCTATCATGCTATCATGAATGTATTCATCGTGAACAAATTGACCCAAAATAGACTCGCAACGATATGGACGACAATAAAATTTGCTTGTTTGAACTTAATGAGCTCATTATATGGTTTTGAAAGGGACTCTTTTCTGTTGAAAATACTCAAATAGTAGTGGATTTTTAGCCAACATGATAGCATAATTCCAGGTGCTACTCTTTTCTAATGCCATTAATGAAGTCCAGAAATATGCATACAAGTTACTGTGATAGAAAAGTTTTGCCAATGAACAACTTAAAAAATGAATTTATGATAGTAGAGACAATTTCTTTTTTTTAAAAAAAAAAAAATAGAATAGCTAACTACAAAATATGTACACAATTTATTGTGATAATGCACGTGGAAAGTCACATACACCAACTAATAATATAATAACTGTTATTATAAATGTGTCACCCTTTTTTTTTTGGAACAAAAGTTAATTTTTACTCCATTTTGAATGAAAAGAGAGCACAAAACTTACTACAAAAATCAAGTTTCTAGATAGGGCTATTATACCAAGACCATTATTTTTTGTTGTTGTTTTTTTTTTAATGTTTGATATTATAAATTAAAATATCTCTCAGTTAGTCAGTCAGTTTCAAAATGATTATTTAATTTGGATATTTATTTTTTATATTAAACTCTAAACTGGATATTCATTTCGGAAGAAAGAAGGTTCAAATTTACCAAAATTAATTTATTTTATTAATATATTATATTAAAAGGATCGGAAAAATAGCGTAGTATTAAGGTGGAGAAGTTCGATAAACGACGTTAATAGTGTTGGCTTTTTCCTGCCAAGTGTTTCACCGCGATGTACTCCAATGCACAATAGCGCGTAAAATTGAATGCCTGGTCGAATCGAAGAACCGGGTCGGGCAGCGTTCATATAATACTACTACTATCGATTTATGAGTTTGAAACGAGAAAAAAACAATTTTGCAGACCGCAAACCGCAAGGTACAACCATTAGTACTTCTAATACATTGTTTTTAGGTCTTTTTTAGTACTACTACATTTTTATTTTTTTAATGGAATATGATAACAAGATTTTAAGACAGGGATATCTAAATCTCGGCTTCTGCATTTGTATGTTTACGACAGTCACCACTTAACTTTATTGTGTCGAACATGGGAGAATACTTATTCCAATTTATATTTTTCAGTTTTCGAACTAAACAATATTAAATTGAGATCTGGATAGTAATTAAATAGGATGATCAATACAAGGTTAGTACATAGTGCAAATCTTTTTTTTTGAATTTGAATTTGAATTTGAAAAAGAAAAATCCAAACTGAAGTAATGAAGAAAAATCCAAACTGAACGTTTATTTTGTATCAAAGGTTAAAATATAGACTGGATAATCATTTTAAGATACGAAAATAAGGTTTTTTTGATGGGTTAATATTATTGTTTACAAAGTGAATTTATATAGTGATTGATGTGTTTTTGGAGAAATGACGTATTGTTAACTCATTACCAATGAAGGTAAAAGATTAAAACTTTGAACTTGCACAATGTATATCCATGAAGTAACGAAGGACATATACGTCAAAGAATTTAAGCTGGAACTTTAGATCGAAGCCCTGATGAAACTATTCCGACGACCCTATTGCTCAACTGTACTGTATAATGATTTTTATATTTTATTTTATTTTAATTTTTTTAAAATAAAACACTGTCCAAATATAAACTAAAAAAATGACAGCACGCTGTATGATTCGCAATGTAACAAGTAACAACTTACACGAATTAAGGGAAAACAAAATCCTCCGACTCGACGCATCCTATCTTCTTTGCCCAGTTTATAAACCGAGAAAATAATTAATCTTGTGTATATTAATACTCTGAAGTCTGCATCGATATTTTTAGTACATCTAGCATTACTATTTTGTATTTTTATTGAATGATTTTACATATATTTATATATTTTTTTTATTGAATGATACATGTGGTATAGTACTCCACAGTCACGATTATGTTCCATCATATATGATCTCCACTATCATCATTTTCCATCGTTATTATTGTTTTAATTGTTTGTCTAGTCGTGTGTTTTATATTACTAGTAATAAATAATAGTCTTATTTTCAGAACTAAAACAATTCATCGAGTGTAACTATGATGGGGATCGAGCGAGGACGTAAATAGATATGTTTGTTCAATCCCAACCCACACTGATTAATTAATTGAGAACAAATCCTTGTTCTTTAAGCAAATTACATGTTTATAAATGAAATTATGGTGGTTATTATTTGGGATGAAGCGAATGATTTAGGTAACACGTGATTAAAGAGCCAACACCACCCCACATTCTGAGATCAGATCCATCAGCATAAAAAAAAAAAAAAAAGAAAAGAAAAGAAAACAGTGGCAAATTGATTAAAGTTAAACCAAAAGAGTAAAAAAGATTGTTTTCCCTATTTAGGTCCCCAAATAACGCGTTTAACTTTAAAGCTTTTTTTTCCCTAATAATCTTCTCAGAATTTCCTAAATTTTTTTTTGTTTGTTTGGCAGACAGGTTGTGATATGATGTGTTATGGCTACGTAAGAAAGACCGGAAAAAGACTAACCAAAACCAACTTTTTTCCCCCATCATTTGGTGTGGTCTGAAAAGGACTATCCAACTCCATTTGCCAAATCTCCAATACTAATTTGATAGCATAACTAAATAAATAAAGTTAACCACAATAGATAATTTGGTCAAAGTTATATCAGACCTGAACATAATTTGGTCAAAGCTGAGAAATCATTAGCACAATAGATAAAAAGGCAACACTTCTTTATTAGCACCCTTAAACTTAATTATTAAAGGGTTATAGAAGTACTTATGTAGTACTACTATATTAGTGCAACATTGTCAAGCGTATTCATTTTTAAATATCGACACTCTTACTACATGAACTTTGACAGATTGTGAGATTCACTATACCCATACAGCTGTGATTACATTTGATTAATTGGTTCCATTCCATACTTTCGTTCCTCGGAAAAAAAAAAAAAACAGTTTTATATGTATCGTCATGTACTATATGTGTACGTAATGAATTAATAATAGTAGTACTAAATACTAATAGTTCAAACTCGTTTGATATTTAATGTATTAGTAGTATCCTAATAACCAAAAAAAAAAACAAAAACTTTCATGATTCCGAGACCATTCTATTCAGACAACAAGAAGTGTGCTCTTTCGACTTTCGAGCGTATTCAAAGTGCCAACGAAACGTTTGACCATTCCAACTCCTAACATTAACAAACCTAAATTATAACGGATAAAATTGAACCAAATTTACTTCAAATTTTAATGGTATAAATAGGGGGATACACACCATTTTATTTATTTATTTATTTATTTTGGCAATTTTACAAAACTTTAAGATAGAACGGCCTTGTTTGAATCCATTTTTATAGGTCTTTCGGGTTTGTTTTTGTTTTTGTTTTTTTTTTTTTTTGAAACATATTGCAGGGTGTCTGTCGTCGACAACAGTGATTAATCCCCTTTATTTTCCCAAATTTTTTTTTTACCATATTCATTAATCTCCATAGCATTAATCTTTCAACTGGAAAAAAACAAATACACCGGAAAAAAACGTTCCAAATAACGAGCTTTGGTGTACACTACATGGATGGGGGTGTGGACTTGTGGGAGACTAGAACAAAGTAGAGATAGGTCAGCATATAATGTCTCATGGGGTGTACACCATTCGCATGAAAATGCATGTTCCGCCGTTTGTTCTGTAGTTGCTTGTCCATAACTCTCCGATCAATCTGTTACACAACTTCATTAAACTCATTCGTTTGTTCTTATGTAAAAAAGTACACACTCCATATATACATTCAACTATTTAAAAACTTAAGGTAACGTCAAATAATAATAATTGAATCAACTTGTCAAACAAAATCTAGCTCAAATAGTAGTATATGGAATTATGGATCCATTTGAAGATCTTTTTAAAAGATTTATTTCTCTTACAGATTCC